TCTTCTGCAACGAAATAATTACAATCTAAAAAATTCTAATTACTATGTCCATTTGTTATATCAAACTATAGTAACAATTCCTATGTATCCTAATAATTCCTGTAAATCACTATAATTGTGAATACTTTCATTGATACAAGTCGCGGCAAAGAGAAACTTCCTAGGTGCGAAACTCGTTAATACCTACAGCCAATGTGTTCATCCGGATAACAATGTTTTCCCGAGTAGTAAATTTGGATCCAGCGTGTGGTTGTTCGCCCACGGCGTATTCGCGTGCCGGTATTAGACAACTTGATCTACGCTACGTCTCTTCCTCGGTTTTTTATGGTTTCTAATTTTCCAACGAAATACGGATCCGCGTGAAGCATACCGGCCGACCGAGTCACGGTTCGTTTGAATAAAACTTACCAAGTAAAGTATACACGCATACATAAACATTCGGTATTAGTGTGTAAGTCCTCAGACTTTTTCCTCGGGAAACGTAATTTCCAGCAGAAACTAGCAAGTAGAACGAGAAGATTCGTTTCTGATTCGTTACTGCAAAAATTCCTGCTCTCCGTAGGATATTTGCAATTTTAACAAACGCGGGGCGGCAGTGCTTTAATGTTAATTTATTCTCTTTATCTTTGTACTGTTACGAATAAGGTGTTGATTTTTATGCATTCGTGACATCTGCCGATTCGTGAGAGGGAAAAGTGTTTTGCTTTTCGTTTCTGTTCAGAGTGTGATAATCGATCGATATTCTCTGGAACATAACATTTTTATTTCATGTTGGCTATAAAGAGTTTTTTAATTTTCGCGAGGAGGGTTTCTGTTATTTTCATTTCAATGGAATCTACGATAATAGAAAATAAAAAAATCTCAATTAAATTGTACTAATTGCCTAAGCATTGATGGATCTATACCAAAACATATAGATATAAGAAATAGCAGTTTATTTATTTTATGTTGGTTATAAACAATTTCCTTTAAAAAAATACATACAAACTAATAATTGTATAAAAATTCTCAGCTTAATTATGAGACATAAACGTTCGCAATTACAAAGTAATAGTCTGTAAGTCTGTACCAAAAGATACAAATTAAGTAGAATATTATCTTTACTTCATTTTAACTATAAACAATTGTCTAATCAGTGAACGAAACTTTTCTCCGTTTTCGATTTCGAAAGAGTCTTTGTATATCTATTGAAACTAACACACAAACTCTTAGCCTAATTATTAGCTAGAAACATGAGTCCCTACAGTCCAGTAAACAAATGAATTTTTATCAAATGATGCAAACCAAGGAGAGTAGAGTGTTTTTATAACACTTTGATTATAAAGGATTGTCAAACCAGCGAAAGAAACTATATTCTTGATCTTGAAAATGTCTGTGAACATCGTAATTGACAGAAAGATTGTCAGCCTAATTATGAGCTGTAAAAGTGAATATCCACGATCTCATAATCAATGAGTTAACATAATCCTTTGCACTACGATTTCTTTCACAGCTACATTGATTTATTCGTGATTAATAATTTCCTTGATGCAACGATATCATTTTTGTTTCTTCTACACCTTCATTTACTTTTCATCCGAAGATTTTGATAACAGAAGAATCAAATTTAGTTTCACTTTAGGATGAATAAAATTCATATTTGACAGATTATGTATGAGATCTTTAATCTGTTTCGCTCGCAAAGATTTGCCCAACCAACGGAAGGAACTTCTCCTTTATTTCGACATCGAAACAGTCTGCGAATATCGCAATTAGCAGACAAATTTTCGGTTCAGTTGTAAGCTACGAGCACAAACAATCGGTGTATCCGGCAGCGGAACATTTAAGCCGTTAATTCGGAATCAGTGAACACCGAAATGCAGGATTTTAATTCGCGCACGGTTCCCGCAGATGCTGGACCACTCGGCAAATTCCCCAGTTTCGAAGAATTGCTCGAGAGCAGCTTCAAAAGGGGCGTTTTCCTTTTTGTTTTGCGAGTCATTTGAAAAGACCTTGACCCCCTGTCAGACATACGAGCACGGGCGCATGAAAGCGCCAGTTTAAACCCTGACGGGCCTCCACGTTCTAACGAACTGCATGTTTTCCAATCTCTCTTTGCCTCCTCCGTTGTTTGAAAACGATGTTCAGACGGCGTAATTAAATATTCCGCGTAAGCTCGGAATATTACACCCACACAAACTCGTGTACACCGCAGACTTTATGCGTTTAGAGCGCCCGTCGGAGTATCGATCACGGCGAAAACGCAAATAACGAACGTTTAATAGCTTTCTTTTCCATCATTCGCGACTAAACGACGTTCTACGCAGGAAGATGCGCGATACTAGCCTCATTTGATGCAGGAATTGCATTTTTTGCGATGATTATTGGCGAAATGCTGACAAAACATTCTGTTGAGTATTCAACATTATTTTTATGAAATAAAATTCTATGGAGACGTTTTCATTGAAAAATCATGGCAAATTAAGTGATCGATAATTGTAAGATTATTAATTGCAAGAATTAGGAGAAGGTTATAGCATTTTGCATTTTATTTTTGGGCAGATAAAATTGTCGACGAGAAACGAGCAGTGCCAGTTTATTTCAATGAAAATTTCAACTAAAATCATGTTTCTACTATGGTTCTATAGTAACAAAATTCAAATATTAATGGCAAGTATTTAATTCTAGTGCTGCTAATTCGCTAAAAATTAATGTTTAACAAATGTTTCACAAATTACGAAATGCGAGCAGAATTGAGATTTGATTAATATTTCATTTTATTCATGATCAAACAAATCGTCAATGTGAAGTATGTTTATAAGGGAAATTAAAATACGTACATGAAATATGTACTATGTATAAGAAAAATTAAAATACCTACACGAAGTATGTATAATCTATAAGACAAATTGAAATACATACACGAAGTATATGCAATCTATAAGGAAAATTAAAATACGTACATCAAGTATGTACTATGTATAAGCAAAATTAGAATACGCACATGTGAAATATACATATACTATCTGTAAGACAAACTAAAAAGTAAACAAACAAACTAAAATAAAGTATGTACTAGCTACAAGAAAAATTAAAGTAGAATAGTAAATGAAAAAAATGTAAAGTGGCACATAAAGCATGCACTATACATAAGGAAAATTAAAATACGTACATAGAATATGTACTATGTATAATGCAAGATAAAGTACGTGGAGGATGAAGAGGATAAAATCAGAGGATAGAATAAATTACATACGCGATGTACGTACAATTTAGAATAGCAAATAAAGTGTGTACCACAAATCAAAATCAAAGTGAATGTTATCATACTACTATGTTTCTGTAGTGAACTATTGGCTGAATAAATTCCTGCATTTTTAATCGGATAAAGTTGTCAATGAAAAGTATCGAAGTTGGTTCCAATTACTGGAAAAACGGGTGTGTAAGTTAATTACTACGGACAGATGTTTTCCGAGATAAAGGCTAAAACGAAATAGATCGCATTATTCTCGGAATGTATCGTCCACTTTACATAGCACAACATTAGTTGCACTCCTTTAATTCGCGCACCGGCTCGTTAACAAGCGTTCAAAGGGAGAGAAGATGGAAAGGGTGACAATTTCCAGTGATCCCATAATGACTGAAGAGTAATTTCCGACAAAGAAAATTATACAACCGAATTACGGAAACGAACATCACAGATCGCGATATACAGGGTGTTCCAAAAATGTGTTTCAATCCGGAAATAGGGAGCTCCTGAGGTCATTTGAAGTAATTTTTTCCTCAGCAAAAATGCAATCCGCGGCTTTGTTCACGAGTTATTAACGAAAAACACTGATCAATGAGAGGCGAACTCGGTTGGCGCGAGGCGGCCCATCCAACGAGCGCGCAAAGCTCGGTTCTGCTCATTGGCTCGACCGCTTCGCGCCAGCCGATCTCGCCTCTCATTGGTCACTGTTTTTCGTTAATAACTCATAAACGAAGCTGCGGATTGTATTTCCGCTAAGGAAAAAGTTGCTTCAAATGACCTGAGGAATCGTCCCTTTTCGAGTGTTAACATAATTATGGGAAACATTGTATACATTAAAATATCTAGCGAAAATGGTCGTTTTATTATCACCTAATTTACAATGATCGCACTCAATGTACCGTAAAAAATGTATCTAACTCTGCAGTATATTTCGTGGTCATTAATAATTTTTATCTGGGAATAGCATATCATGATCAGTCAATTACATAGCTATATTGATGTTGTAAAACTTTTATGTTATCATCAGAGCTAACGTGGCCACATTGAGATAAACTGTAAATAAATAACTAAAACATATAACTATGAATATAATGCAAAAACTCCTTCATCGAAATATAGTTGAGTTTAAAAAAGACGAAATATTATAAATATTACTTGAGACAGTAAAAATAGTACAGTTTAAAGAAAATAAAATAATGACGAGTAAGTGAGATTTTTATAATTTTGTTATAATCGAGTGAAAGGAGAAAAAACATTTAACACGTGACTGAAAATATTATATTTCCAGCAATCAAAATAAGGTATTAAATAAAAATTGATGCATTGGAAAAAGAAATAATCCAATTTTGCATTTTAAATAGATACTCAAAGTAATTATTCTCAATGACAATAAATTTTCGTAAAAGTATTATTTTGTGTAAATAGATTGATCATATTCCAAATGCGACTGATTTTTAAATGGAGTATTAACATCAATGTTCCATGTATGTATTTACATAAGTATGTACATATTTCATGTTCGAGTACATTATATTTCGATTGATAGAGATAATTTAGAACGTTGATTCACGTGCACCACGCAAGTCGCTTTACGTTTTCGACAATTTAAAAAGCTCTTTAAGAATGTAAACGGGTACGAATGAGGTTTTTACATCTCGTCGCGGTTGAAACCGCTAGCAGCCCCTGTAGACGATAGGTTATGTGAAGCTTTCAAAGCCTTTGAATTTGGAGCAATTTCCCATTCGCGGCAATATCGAGGAAATCTACTCACCCCTTGGGCTTAATGCAGACGACAGTGACGATGTTTTTTCGCCATGGTTTCGAGAGTTCTAGCTAGAATCTCGTTCTCCCTGGAACAGACCAAAGAAATACAATTTACCTTGCTTGAAGTCAGTTTTATTTGACGTTTTTACTGATAGCGAAACTATTTTTATTATCTGGAGCTAATAAAAATCACAATTATTTATATACTTCTGTAGTTATTTAATTATTTAATTATATCGGTATTTAGTTATTTATAGTTATTTACTTCTATAATTATTTAAGTACACAGTTATTTACTTATATAAGTATTTAGTTATATAGTTATTTACTTATATAATTATTTAATTATACAGTTATTTACCTATATATGCAATTACTTAATTACATAATTAAATAATTGTGTACTTAATTACTTAGTTATTTAGTTATATACTTCTATGTGTTACATGATTAATAAGGTTATATAATCATTGCAGTATCCATAGGAAGAATCACATTGCACCAAAGACCATTGATTTCATTAACAGAAAATTGGAATTGTAGTTACAT